TTTGATTTTTGTATGTTGATTTTGTATCCTGCCACTTTACTGAATATATTTGATAGTTTTAACTTTTTTTTTTAATGGAGTCTTTGGTGTTTTCTACATGTAGGATCATGTCATCTACAAATAGAGATAATTTTATTTCTTCCTTTCCAATTTGGATATCTTCTATTTCTTTTTCTTGTCTGATTGCACTTGCTAGTACTTCTGGTACTATGTTGAGTGGAAGTGGTGAGAGTGGACATCCTTGTCTTGTACTAGATCTTAATAGAAAGTCATTCAGTTCTAGTTGACTATGATATTAGCTATGGGTTTTTTATAAATGGCCTTTATTATGTTGAAGAGCTTTCCTTCTATACCTAAACAATTAAAACTTTATCAGAAAGGATGCTGAAGTTTGTCAAATGTTTTTTCTGCATCAGTTGAGATGATCATGTGGTTTTTACTTTTCAGTGTGTTAATGTGGTGTATCACATTGATTTGCAGATGTTAAACCAGCCTTGTATGCCAGGAATAAATCCCATTTGATCGTGATGTATAATCTTTTTGATTTGTTTTTGAATTTGATTTGCTAATATTTTATTGAAGATTTTTGCATTGTATTCTTTGAATATTTGGTAGAATTCAGCTGTGAAGCCATCTGGTCCTGGGCTTTTCTTTATTGGAAGGTTTTTGATTATTTTTTCAATCTCTTTATTTGTTACTGTTCTGTTCAAGCTTTCTGTTTCTTCCTGATCCAATCTTGGCGTAGGTTATATTTTTCTAGGAATTTATTCATTTCTTCTAAGTTATCCAATTTGTTGGCATGTCCCTTATAATATTCATTATAGTCCCTTATGATCCATTATATTTCTGAGGCATCTGATGTAACGTCTCCACTTTTATTCTGATTTTACTTATTTGAGTCTTCTCTCCTTTTTATTAGTCTATAGGGGTTTGTCAATTTTGTTTATTTTTCAAAAAAGTCAATTCTTGTATTTATTGTCTTTTTTCTATGGTTTTTCTGTTCTCTGATTTTTTCTGTTCTGATCTTTATGATTTTTTTCCACTGCCTTTGGGTTTAGCTTGTTCTTCTTTTTTCTAGCTTCTTGAGATATAATGTTAGGCTATTTATTTGGGATCTATTTCTTCCTTTGTGTTCATTAATATTTGCTGTATATATTTAGGTGCTCAGATGTTAGGTGTCTTATATTTACAATTGTTACGTCCTCTTTTATCATTAAGTAATGACCTTTTTTTCTCATAACAGTTTCTGACCAAAAGTCTGTTTTGTCTGATAAAAATATAGCCACCTCTGCTCTCTTTTGGTTACAATTTGCATGGAATATCTTCTTCCATCCCTTCACTTTTAGCCTTTGTGTGTTCTTAAAGTTAAAATGGGTGGTAGGTAGCATATAGTTGGATCTTGTTTTATTATTCACTCAGCAACTCTGTGTCAATTGATCACAGGGTTTAATCCATTTAAATTCAAGGTTATTATTGATATGTAAGGACTTACTCATGCCATTTTGTTAATTGTTTTCAGGTTTTGTAGATCCTTTGTTACATTCTTCTCTTGTTGTCTGCCTTTGTGATTTGGTGGTTTTCTGTAAGTGCTAAGCTTTGATTCCTTTCTCTTTCTAGTTTGAGTATCTACTCTAGTTTTTGCTTTGAGATTATCATGGGACTTACATAAAACATCTTATAGTTGTAATAGACTATTTTCATCTTATAGCAACTTAACTTTTGTCTCATACAAATACCCTAGATTTTACCCTTCCCCCACAATTTATATTTTTGTTATTACAATTTACATCTTTTTATATTGTGTATTTCTTAACAACTTATTGTAGCTATAGTTATTGTTGACCACTTTTACTTTTAACCTTTATACTAGAAATTTGAAAGATTTCCACACCACCAATACAGTAATGGAGTATTTTGAATTTCACTATGAATTTACCTCTACCAGTGAGTGTTATACTTTCGTATGTTTTCACAATAGTAATTATTGTCCTTTTGTTTCCACTCAAAGAACTCCCTTAAGTATTTCTTATAAGGCAGGTCTAGAGTGGTAATGAATTCCCTCAGCTTTTGCATTATTTGTCCTTCAATTTTGGAGGACAATTTTGCTAGGTATAATATTCTTGGCTGGTGGGTTTTTTTCTTTCATCACTTTGAATACATTATCCTGTTTCTGCTAAGACATTTATTGTAGTCTAATAGAGATTCCCTTGTACATGACTTGACACTTTTCCTGCTTTTAAATTTTTCTCTTAGTTTTTGACTTTTGACATTTTGATTATAATGTGCCTCATTGAGGACTTCTTTGAGTTGAACCTTTTTGTGGTTGAGCCTGTTTGAACCTTGTGGATCTGGAATATCTATATCCCTCTCAAGACTTGGGAAGTTTTTAGCTATTATTTGGTTAAATAAAACTTCTGTGCCTCTCTCCATCTCTTCTCCCTCTGGAACTCCCATAAATGAGAATATTTGTTTGCTTAATGATGCCCCATACATCCTTAGGCTTTCTTCATTTTTTTTTCTTTTTTTCCCTCCATCTGGGTTATTTCAAAAGACTTATCTT